GCTGATAAAAGCAAATGCCAGAACTCCATCAAAAAATATTAAGACTGAGTCTGTGGAACAAGTAGAATCTATCAGGCCAGACTAATAAAAGGAAGACAGTATAACACATTTAAGAAGTTGAGGATAATGACCAAAGCTGTGTGAAACTTCCAATCTACTCCATTCTTAGGTTTGAAAGGTCAGGAGCAAGAAACGGAAGTCAACCTGCTTTGCTATGTAATAGTCAAGAACTCGATTTTCGAAACTTGTTATGAAGCAACTTGCATTTAGGGAATGCTAGTACTGAGGAATCATCATGACTTCCCAGGCAGTAGTTCTCAACAACTAGCAATGCCTAAAAGACATTTCTAGTGTCAGGATACGCTAGATGTGGGGGATGCTACTAGGTCCAAGAGGGGGACAGGGCCAGGAATTGTGCTAACTCACAATGCACTGGACAGCCCCCCTGACAAAGAACGATACTTTCTAAAATGTCCATAGTGCTGAGCTTGAGAAACCTTGCAATGGAGTATTTCACCAAGAGTTTCCAAGAACAATACAAGTTAGTATGGAGGATGAATTATAACCTTTGTAAATGAAATCTGTACCCAGCTAAGCAATCCTAACCAATCAACGATGACTTCCTCACTATAGGAGTGTGTTGCCATGTGCTGGTGTGCTGCTAGGAGCTCCAGGAGAATCTATTCTGTTCAGTAGGTTAAATGTGGTGCCTGTCATCACACCAGTCTCATATTCACTTAGTGACTTTTGCACTCACCAACTACCTATCTGCTGTACAACCAGCCTCAGGGATATAGGGAATAAAAATAACAATAACAACAAAGACAAGGACAAAATAACCACAAGCAAAACATACAATTCTGTCTTGAAGGAGTCCACAGTCCAGAGTGGAGACAAACACACAACTAAAAAGCCTATTGAAAGGAGGGCATTTGGCCAGGTGGTTATCACAAGGGTTAGAACACCCATAAGCTCCATCTGAGTGCCTGTGTTTGACAGCAGCCTCTGGCTTTGGACTCTAGTGTCCTGCGGCTGCAGACCCTGGAGGCGACGATGATGGCTCGAGTAATTGGTTCCCTGCCACTCATATGTTAGATGTGGATTACATTCCCAGCTCCTGGCTGCAGCCCAGCCCAGACTTGATGTTGAGGGCGCTTGGGAGAATGAACCAGTGCATGAGAGTGCTCTTTCTGTCTCTCAAATAAGTCAATAAAATTTTTTAAAATTGTAAGCCCATGGGGTAACAGGGAAAACACAAAGGAGTGAGGCTCAGTTCCCACGTGGGACTGAGGGAAAATGTTTCCTCCAGGAGGCAGGATGACAGCTGAGGTGGGCAGCAGAGACAGAATGGGCAAGGGGACTGGGCGCTGGAGTCTAAGACGTGTCTGCTTCTCAGGACACTCTGATCACGCCAACAAGGACAGAAATAAGCAACCTGGAGCTAGGCAGTGTTCCAAGGGCCTTGCGGGGACAAATTCAGTCAGTCCTCACAGAAGCCCTTGGAGGGAAGTGCTACAATTAGTCTCGTTTTACAGCCGAGGAAACTGAGGCACAAGGCGGCTCACCGAGGTCACAGAGCTAGTGACTGTGATTCAAACTCACTTCACCTGGCTCGTAACCTCTCACCTCCTAAAGGAGCCAGAAGACATGAACAGTGGCTTCTAGAAGGGCAATCAGTGACGAGCTTCGGCATTAACCTGAGGCACAGTAGACCCACGTGCCTGAGACACCATGCTTTCAGGATGATGACCAGGCTTGTAACTACGGATAGCAAGCTCTGCCAAAGCAGGACGTCAGCCACGGCTTTCCCTCCATCCGAATCGCTGTTGATCTCCACGTTGTTTTGGGCAGTCCTTCCCTGAGTTTCCAGTTCCAGATGATCTCTGCCGTGGTCTTGCCTCTCCCTTCCCGCAGTCTGAGGAGCAGGCCCTCTCTCCCTTCACTGAAGCCGGTTTTCAACAGCAGAGAGTCGAGGCTGGAGCTCGCCAACACGTCCTTGAGCTGCCTCCTCACCAGCAGGAGATGCAACATCCAAGGACCACAGACCCTGCCCCCGGGGCCGCACCCAGGCCTGGTTTCCATTTCTGCTCTACCAAGATCTGAGGAGAAACCATCAGATGCCAGCAGAGGATCCAGGTGAACAGCCTCCAGGTCTGTTCTGACCCACCCATCTATTGGGTTCTCCTCAGAATGCCCCAGAATCAACTATGTTTTCGAACCCTGAAGGTACCTGTTATTTTCCAGCTTTACGAGACTGATATTCTAGACCTCATGACTCATGGGAAGATGGCATACAATAGTTAAGAGCACAAGCCCAGAGCTATGATTTTGAGTAAGTCATTGAATCTCTCTCAGCCATGGGTTTAATAACAATAAAAAGAACAGATTAGGGCCGCCGCTGTGGCGCAGTAGGTTAATCCTCCGCCTGCGGTGCCAGCATCCCATATGGATACCAGTTCTAGTCCTAGGTGCTCCTCTTTTGATCCAGCTCTCTGCTGTGGCCTGGGAAAGCAGTAGAAGATGGCCAGGGTGCTTGGGTCCCTTTACCCACATGTGAGACTTGGAAGAAGCTTCTGGTTCCTGGCTTTGGATCAGCACAGCTCCTGCTGTTGTGGCCATTTGGGGAGTGAACCAGCAGATGGAAGACCTTTCTCTCTGTCTCTCCCTCTCTGTAACTCTGCCTCTCAAATAAATAAATAAAATCTTAAAAAATTAGCTTACAAGGGTACTTCAACACGTTCATGGAAAATCAAATTCAAAGGTATGTTTATTTTGGTACAAAAAATTGAAATCTGTGCACCTCATAGAAAAACAGGAATTATGTAAAAACCGGCTTTCCAAGTTTTGCACCAAAATAAATACTTCTTCGAATTCCATTTTCCCACAAACTTTTGGAAGCACTCTCCCATTTACTGAGCTATAAGCCTTAATGCAGGTAAAATAATTAATGCAGGTAACATACTTAAAGTAACCAACACACAGGCAAGCATAAAATTTTGTTATTAAACTACAAAGAAATTTAGCACCGAGTGTTTGCATGAGCACAGAAAACAGCTGAAGGTTATATATAAACTTTTACTGGAGTACAAAGGAAATTTCACATTTCACATAGGTGTGGCTTTCAAAACAACTTGTGTTATGGGTCTGCTTCTTTTGTAAGCTTTTAAAAATAAGACTCATTTTTTAAAAACTCTTTGTGACTACTTTCCACTTTCTGCTTCAAAAACATCCCTGACAATGAACATACTCTTACTTGAAAGGGGAAGGAGAAGATCAAACAGCCCCAAACTGCTGAGCAGCTGCTCTAAGACACCAAATGATGGGACCGGACTCAGTCTCGGGCTGGCCCCAGGCCTTCCCAGTGAAAAATGGATTCCATCAAGGCCATTGCTGTTCTCTTGTTTGGTCCCTGTTGAACCTTGCCCTAAATTTCTGAGGTTGGCTCAAAAAAATTCTCCCCAACCAGATCACCAGATAAGAGGCCTTCAGGCTTTTTTGCAAAGAGAAAGCAGAGGAAAAGAAAGCAAAAACAACAGATGCAGGCCTAGTTCCTATTTGTCTTACTTGAAAACAATATACGTTAGTGTTTGGAAAGGAGCTTCAAGCCCTACACATGGGAGGCCCCAGAAGGCAGCTGCCTCTGGCCTGCCCTTCCTAGACTTAATCTTACCCTGGCTCTGGGTCATAGCCCCCTTGGGGCCCATGCCCTTTGCACACCAAGTCCTTCTCAGACCTCCCAGTTCCACAGGCCACAAGACGGCCCACAGGTGACTTCCACTTCACCCAGGAGCTGTGGCTCTGCACCACACCCAGAAATCCTGAACTCTTCCCCCTCCTCTGGGCAGTGTCTTTGCTCCCTTAGCTTCCCAACAACTGCCACGTGCCCTCCGGCCAGGATTCAAGTCTGATTCATCCTGATGTCCTCCGGCATTGGCCAGGGGCCTGGTCCCACAGAGAGGTGGCTCAACAAGAGTGTGGCAACCAACAGGGAGCCCGAACCCTCCCAGTCTGAATGTCTCCTTTTCCTCCCAAGCCAGCTTCCTCTTTCCCTCTGTGATTGCTAGGACATGTCTTGAAAGGCAAGGAAGGCCTTCCTAAACACTCAGGGTGCCTTTTCCCTTAGAAACAGGTAGGTGATAGCAAGATTGGGATTATCACTGCCATCCTGCAACAGTGAGATAAGCATTTCTCACGGCACGGAAAAATGGAAGGAGGGTGTGTGTGTGCAATCTTAATTAATTAACACAAGGCACTTTTAAGTACTGAACACGCATTTCCATAACACTGAGATCCCAGGCTGGCGTGTGAGAACACAGAAGGCGACCACGGCTGGCAACTCTTGGGAGAAAGAGCCAAAAGGCCCCGTTCCCAGAGTCTGCGCAGCCTTCGCTCCACTCCGGGAGATGCGCCACCAGGGGACACCCAGCCCCTGGCTCCCAGCTTTCGCGTGCGGCCAGGCAGGCGCTAGGCAGAGACCCCAGAAGGGCCGGCCGCCTCTTAGAAGCCCATATGCACACTGCCACCTGGGCCCGCGCCCTCCTCGCCCCAGGCTTGCCTGGGCGGCGCCCGCCCCAGCCGGCCCCAGGACGGGGCTACACCGCTCTCCCGTTTCTTCCTATTTTCAAAAAAAAAAAAAAAAAAAAGCGAGGGTGCTTTAAACATCTGCCCGGCCAAGAGTCTGATCCGGGCACAGGGCCGGGAAAAGTCATCTTCCCGGTTCGGGGTTGGCAACACGTCCCCCACTCCCCTGCCTCCAGCGCCTCGTTCACAGACAGAGCCAGGGCAGGGCTCCCCCCGGATGGCTGCGGCCTCGCCCTGCGAACAAGTTTGCCCTGGCGCAGAAATGTGGGGGGCCGGCGCCGAGCCTGGACTGGGGGTGGGAGTCCCTGCATCTCGGGACCTGGCACACGGAGCCCCCGACCCCCGCCCCGTGTCGACCCCGGATCCGTGGTCCCGATCGATCAGTGTCCCCCCACCCCTGGTGGAGGAACCCCACTTACCCCACGACGGAAATCATCATGGCAGCCACCACCAGGTAGTTGGTCTGGTAGTACAGCAGGTTGCTCACCACACGGTTGTTCCATTTGGAAATGTCCCTGAAGTCCGGCCGGGCGAAGCGGTCAGAGCCCGGGAAGAAATCGTCCCAGGCGCGGAGTGGGGCGATATTCACGTCCATGTCTTCTTGGCTTTCGGTTCTTCACCTCCGGAATCTGGCGGCGGCGGCAGCGGCAACCTAGCCGGGTTAAAGAGCTGACAGCGGCTCCGTCTCGATCGGCTCTGCGGTTGGCGAGCAGCCGAGCAAGGGAAATTGGGAGCGGGAGGGCGTGTTTTCGCTCCTTTACTTCTCGATTGGCTCTAAGGGGTTGGTTACGGGAAAATGGGGGGCCCGCGACAGAGCAAGGCACCGAGCACACGGAATGGAGATGAAATGGCACTGAAAGCAATCAGCGGAAATCCCGTCTGCAGCAAGGTGGCAACGCCTTCCCTGACGGTCTAAATAGCAGCCCCCTTTTAACACCAGCGTTTAACCTAGGAATGTGTTTTCTGCCATAGAGAAAAAAATGCGCAGCTGTTCAGATGCTGATCTACGAAAAATGGAAGGAGACCACGGTATCACAAGAGGATGAGCTGTATTTTAAGACTGAGTCTTAGTAACTTCTGTCCGATCGACCACAGTACTCATCTGCTTTCTGTTTCACCCTGAGTCACTAAGCGTGAAATCAGATGGGCAAAACGCGAAATAAGGTGGAGAGAAAGAAAGGGCTGTTTTGTTTTTTCACTTCTCTATTTTTGTTCTCCACCTCTATTCCTTTTGTGGCAAAATTATCGAACTGCTATGGCATTCTAAAAAAACTAACCCAGTAGGCGCACAGGTCACTGAAAGCCAACCATTGCTTGTGGTGAACTGATGGTTCTGCACCCTGTATTTTCTGAGCAGAAGCAAGACTTCCACTCCAAAGCAGCTTTCTCAGTTTTATCCCCATATTTGGTGACAATTTTCATTAAGGGAGCCCGGTATTGTAGTAGACAAGGTAATGGTTTGTTTGCCAGCCTCAACAATTGGCAAGAGATGTATTGTAAATACTTCTCGTCCAAGGCCCAGAGGGTCATCTTCGTTTTAGTTATGGGGCTGGTTGGTGCAGCAAACCTCCTCTTCTCTCAGATTCCTGAGCCAAAAGGACAGCCGTCCCTTGGAATCCATGGAGGGTTGATTCTAGAATCCCCTAGAGAGCCAAGGCTGCGGATACTCACGTCCTCCACAGAAAGTGGTGCAGTGTTGATGTAGAACCTGCTCACATTCTCCTGTATATTTTACATAGCCTCTAGATTGCTAACGACACCTAATGCAATATTGTTTAGGGAAGAATGACAAGAAAATGGTCATGTTCAGCATAGGTAACTTTTTTTAAACTATTTTTAAAAAACTTATGTAAACTATTAAACAAACCATGGTTTGTTGAATCTATAGATGCAGAGACTGTATTTTGGTTAATTTCATAGTGTGTTAGGCAGCATGTGGAGATGACCATGTCTAAGGTGACAGGTTCTCACAACTTGGAAGTGGTACTGTTTTAACAAAGATCCAATATTCGTAAATTTTACCAGCTCACAGATTTTCAGAAAACTGGAAAGCACCAAGATATACTCGATACAAAGTCTATAAGAGATAAATTAACATTCCTGGTTGATTCAGAGGTAGTAAGAAACTGACTGTGACTCCAGTGAAATTCTTTCTGCTGCTGGTGCTTAGGAAAGCTCGGTGGCTGAACTGAATTAGTGCCAAGACAGATTCTAGGTGCTGCTAAAACGTGAAAATATCCCGAGTTCTCACACTTTCTTGGCTCTGGAAATGTGAGGGTTACAATCAGAGAAAGCAAAGTTAGAGTCCTAGTTCCTCCCTCTCTGGCAGGTGACTTTGGGAAAATTTCTTCACCCCCTGCCCCACCAGCCTGAATTTCTTCATGATAAAGTGTGGAGAATAGGCCATCTGCCCATCTGCCACATAGGTCAGGATAAATGAAAGACTGGATGGGAAGTGTTCAGTGTTAGTAAAATAGCACAGTGTTATCTGTGGCGCGATCTACACCATCCTTGGCTCTAGCCCCAGCTGCCATTGCTAGAAGTCAGGTGACCAATAGCCCAACACCTCTCTCTCTCTCCCTCTCTCTCTCCCTCTCCCCCCTCCCTACTGTCAGATTTCCCCTGTCAATAAACCCTCTCCCTTAATTCTGGTGTTTGGTATGTTAGATATTTTGGTTCTTATTAATAATAGGACCGCCCATAATAATTTTTTAAATGATTCCTGTGCTTTTACAATGTCGTCCACTGACTTTTCTCTATTTTGTGGCAATGTTGTGGTGGTGGTTTGCCAGGGGAAGATATAGGCAGAGGGAGAAACGGTTGAGAATGTTCAGGACATTGCCAACTGACATTCTAAGTGGTTTCAAGGCTCTGTGAAAGCACTGTGGAGTCAAAAACAGGGAGAATGAGGCAGCCCCTCCCCGCCTGCAGGGATCCTGCAGTGCAGCAGAAAGTCTATTTAGATGTGAGAGTGCCAAAGCGAGATGTGCCAGGCCTTGGTGTTCAGTTACAGGAAGTTAGAGGGTGTGGAGGAATTTCCTGGGGCTCAAGACTCTCCCCAAGCCACACTGTGAGCAAGCTGAGAAAATGATCTGGTCTAGATGAGCGGAGCATGGGAGCCGCAGGAGGGTCCCACACCTGCGACCCAGAACTCTCAGCTTCCAGCTGCTCCGAACTGCATCACCAGAAGCCGTCCGGTGACAAGGCGACAACTCATCATCCCAGACCATCAATTTGCTCAGTGCATTTGTATTTATTTGTTGAAACCTCTAGAGAGGTTTCAAAACTAAACAAAAGCAGGGCAGGCATGCTGGTGCAATGGATCAAGCCATTGCTTGTGATGACAGCATCCCATGTCAGAGTGCCCTGGCTCGTGACTTTGGCGATAACTGAGGTGTCCGTAGCTTTTCCCCAGGGGAGGTGGCTATGATGCTTTCGGCCACTAATAGAATACTATTTTGAAAGCGTCCCTGTGGGAGGGGCAGCCTCTAGGAGATCATTTTGATAGGCAAGGATTTCACCTCCATGGAGCTGTCTGGGCAAGGAGAAGTGATTTCTGAGTTGATACAGAAACATGTGATCCAGAAAGGGGCTGGTGTCTCCTGCTGTGGGCTGTTGACTCCACTGCCGCACTCACTGCCTGGCACTGACTCAGCTCAGTGAAAGCCGTTGATGAACCCAGCTGGGGATGCTAAGGACAAGGCTTCCTTAAGGTTCAGTGGAGAAGACCACAAAGAACAGAGTAAACATCGCACATTAGTAACAGCAGCTACGCAGGCTGCGTACCCATTAGACAAAAAATACTTCTCCATTTCAGTGGTTCTTAAGCTTACGACTTCAGAATCATCCAGGGCTGGATTAGATTCACAACAAATTCCCAAGTAATGTTGATCAGGCCTTGTGTTTTGAGAACCACTTTGCTTAATTCTCAGTCTTAAAAGGCCAAAAACAGAAACAACCAAAAAAAAAAAGAAAAGAAAAGAAAAAGAAAAAAACAACAAACCAACCAAACAAAAAAAAAAACCAAAAAAACAAAAAACAAAAGGCCAAGCATTTTTTAAAATGACTGCTTTAAAAGAAAGTGCCCAAGGTCCTATAGTTAATTACTGAGAAGTAACAACTTAAATTTAGTTCTTTCTGACTTCAAATCCACTGGTGTCCTTCTCCAAAGAAGGATATGTCCGTGTGTTTGAATATATTTCTCTACCCCAGCATTCAGATTCGCCTATACATGTATACACACTTCTGACACTGGAAGAAAGCAGTTAGAATGTTGTCACACGTATCTTTAGGTGATGGGATTATGAGTGTTCTAAGTCAGTTTTTAATTTTTCCTGCTTTCTAAGTATTTTTCTTCTATCTAAATACATATATTTATCTGATGTCCTCAAAGTTTTCCAGTATAGTTCCATTTTTGCTGAATTTATCTGACAGAATGAAGTGACACTAAAATACTGATTTTTTTCAAAAAGTAAAAAAATAACAAAATTCTATCCTACTCCTGTGAACAGATTTAGATAAATCTGTTCTTTTTTGAGAGGCAGAGAGAGAGAACTTCCATCTGTTGGTTCTTTCCCCAGATGGCTGCAACAGTTGAAGCTATGCTGATAAGAAGCCACGAGCCAGGAGCTTCTTCTGGGTCTCCCACGTGGGTGCAGGGGCCCAAGCACTTGTGCCATCTTCTACTGCTTTCCCAGGCCACAGCAGAGAGTGGGATCAAAAGTGGGGCAGCCGGGACTCAAACCGGGGACCATATGGGATGCCGGCACTGCAGGCGGTGGCTTTACCTGCTACCCCACAGCTTCGGCCCCTTTAAATCTGTTCTTAAAGTGTGGACCTACACAGGCAAAGATTTTTGGGACGGTTCTTTGCTCCGGAGGCAAGCTCTAGCATACTGGAGTTAGCCTTCCAGGCATTTTTTCATTGAATATACCAACATTATATGTAATTCTTTATCAGCATATACATTGTATAAAAACAGAATGCTTTGCGTCCACATTTCACCCTGCGTGACATTACACAGGGCATAAGAGTTATCTAATGAGGGGTAGCTAATTAAGATCCTAATTGCAGCGGGACGCTTGCTTTCAAGCCCAGGGGCGCTAAGGCGCAGCCGACCCCTCCCCATCGTTGCAAGCCCCGCCCTCCCACAAGTCCCGCCCCTTCCCGCCGACTCCGCCCGCCGAGAGGGCACCTGGGAAGAGGCGGAGAACAATATGGCGGATGGCGAGGAGCCGTAAGTACCGGGGCTCTGCCGGCGCGCCGGGCTGGGCTGGGTTGTGAGAGAGCGCGGCGGAGGGCGGTCGCCGCCCCCACCCGGGGTCCCCTCCACTCCCCACCCCGTCCCCTCGCCCCCCATCCTCTCGCGGCGCCCAATGTGTAGCGTGATGCTGACCCTTCTTTTATTCTCTCTTTCTTTTAGGGAGAAGAAAAGAAGGAGAATAGAGGAGCTGCTGGCTGAGAAGTTAGTGCTGCCGGGAGGCCGGGGCCCTCTCCGGGGACCCCCGCCTCCCCTTACCCCAGGCCTAGGGGACCAGCCGCAGCGGGCCCATGGGGCTGGGAGGGGGGCACCCGGAGCTCAGGCCGCGCGGCCTCTTCCCCTGACCCCGGTCCCGCAGCAGCCCCGGGGGCCCCCGAGGGCCGCTCCAGATTTGTGCCCCGGCGGGCGTCGGGGCCGGGGTGCACCTGCAGGGCCTTCAGGGGCCGCCGGGGCGTCTGACTTAAAGGTTTTGCGGAAGGACCGTTGTGCCCCCCTCTTCCTCCATCCCAAATTGTCAGATCCTTGAGCTTGTGAAAAGGGAATCCAACTTACACACACACCTAACGGACACGGGGCCGTTTTGTTTTTGCCTTTCGTAAACACTGAGACAATAGTGCACACTGTGTGTGAAAACTGTGTTTCAGGTACTGTACTAAGCACGTCAACCATTTCTGCGAAATAATTGACTCTTAAAGGAGGGTGTTGACACCAACAGCTTATTTTTTCCCCACTTACCATACACCCCGTGTCTTACCAGATGATTAGTTTTGTGCTGGTGGGACAGATTTACACAGTGTTTTCGGACTGAGCCAGCGCCACATAATTTCTCTCCTCCCTACATGGGAGTGGAAAATACTCTCGCAGTGGGTGTGGTGAGTTTGTAATTTCTCTGCCAATTCCTGGTGCTTTGGTCATCCTGAGGTCTCTTCCCCCAGAACTTGAATTTCAACTGCTTAGAGTACTGGAATGACAGACTTTCCTCACCTTTGATTTCCCTTCCACTCTTGCACAAAGTGCACGACATGCCCCATCCTTTATTAAGTCCTCTGTGTTAATATCGCTTTATCCTCCTGGCCCTAAGAAGTTGCTCCCAATAGCCTGCAGTTGAGGTTTATGGCTATTCAGTAATCTGCTCAAGGTCATGGTGCCATTAGTTGTGGAGCCAAACCCGACTGCGCATCAAGACCTATGGTCTTTATTACTATGCAATACTTCTGGGTGTTACCAACATACTTGAAAGTAGAAAATTAAAAAATAACCACAACCAGATATGAATCTTGGCACTGATAAGACAGTTTGTACACTTTGGTAGAGAAGTCCCACTTTATGCAGTTGTATATCCTGAAAGGTTTCTAGGTGTGATGACAAGCTGAGTTTTTTTTTTTAACTGTAGTGGCAACAGAAACCACCTCACAGGACTCAGTAATTTTTGAAAATTTGGACTCCTGTTTCTGAGAAAACCATGTCAAAGCTTCTGTCATCAGAAATGATCTTTAAATCACACCTTTCAATAGAAAATAAAGAACACATGGGTGGTGGTAGATTTGAAGCCTCAGTTCTTAGAGTGTCCCTTTTGTTGTTTTCCCATGCATATGACATTGCCAGATCAGCTGACTTGAAAGAACATACTGGGGAAGGCTGCTGTGGTCTTGTGTAAATACCACATGTAGACAAGTCCATTTCTTACCCATAGACCAACATCCCAAGTTTGACCTTGGATTACTTGAGGAACAGGTAGACTGATTTTATTTTGTCAGGTGGATGAAATAAAAAGAAAAAAAAAATGGAAGCAATCACAGACAGTTCTTAAGTGAACCGTATAATAGACAAGTGATAGGAGAGCATAGACATGACCACATTGATCATTCCCTTTCTGTTTGAGCAGGTCTTTTCATTTGGGGAAACCATAATAACTGTAGGTGTGGCTTTTTTCCGGACTGATCTTTGCAGCTGAATTTACTGTGTTCTGTGCAGAATGGCTGTTGATGGTGGGTGTGGGGACACTGGAGACTGGGAAGGTCGCTGGAACCATGTAAAGAAGTTCCTCGAGCGATCTGGACCCTTCACACACCCTGATTTCGAACCGAGCACTGAAGTGAGAAACGTTTATTTTTAAATAACTGCTCTAATAGTTTTATGTTTCAAACATAGTAAAATGCTTCCTTTTTTAATTTGCTCTTATGAAAACTAATTTTCTTATAAAACGTAGTATTTTGAAATACTCAATTGTATATTTACAATTTACTTGAGTGAATAATATTTGAGTAATTTTCACATTTCTCACGTAATATAAGTTGAAAGAGTTCAAGAGGAAAATAACTTCATAACTTTTAAAAATTCTGTTATACTTAAAACTCCAGTTCAAAGTGATTTGAGACAAATTCCTCTTCAGTAGCCCTACTATAAGATAAAAGTATAGATATGCTTATTTAAATTTTGGAATTTAGTTGGATTATCTTAGAATTGAATATATTTAGTTGCATGTCAAAAATTATATGAGTGCTAACAGTGGCATAGAATTTTTGACTGATAATGTCTGACTTAAAGAAAATGTTCAATTAGATACCTGTTTTTCATTAGGTATAGGAAAGTAAGAAAAGTATTTTTACAGTAAGTACTTGTGTCCTTTTGTAGCTTTTTTTTTTTTTTTTTTTTAAGAGATACTGTTTTGAAAGAGAAATATTGTAGTACTCTTAATGTTAAGACTTCTGAGTTTGGCACAGTGTCTTACCTGAGTAACTTTTCTCCTTTAATGTTATATAGAACTGACAGTATTAATTCTGCTTTTTTTAGCTGATATACCTTATTTTCTTTGGTTTCTGATACTTTTTCCTGATAATTTAAAATGACCATTTCTGTTAAATAAATGTTTCAAATTGTATTTCTGAAGACATGTAGTTTTCTCAGTTTTTCTTCCTATCATGTTTTATAAGTTTACCTTGCTATTATTGTTCTTACCTTATTTTTTTAGACTTTTGAACACCTCAGTGCTTGATCCTGGATTTTTTTTTTTTTTTTTTTTTTGACAGGCAGAGTGGACAGTGAGAGAGAGACAGAGAGAGAAAGGTCTTCCTTTGCCGTTGGTTCACCCTCCAATGGCCGCCGCTGCAGCCGGCGCACCGCGCTGATCCTGGCAGGAGCCAGGAGCCAGGTGCTTTTCCTGGTCTCCCATGGGGTGCAGGGCCCAAGCACCTGGGCCATCCTCCACTGCACTCCCTGGCCATAGCAGAGAGCTGGCCTGGAAGAGGGGCAACCGGGACAGAATCCGGCGCCCCAACCGGGACTAGAACCCGGTGTGCCGGCGCCGCAAGGTGGAGGATTAGCCTATTGAGCCACGGCGCCGGCTCTTGATCCTGGATTTTTAAGATTTTTAAACTTTGTGTGATTTTTAAGGAGTCAGTTCTCAATTTGAGGCTTTCCATTCCCTTTCAAAAATTAAGGAAAACAAGCGAGGATAGTTTTTCTTGTAGTCAATAGATGTTTAATTTCAGACAATAAAAGTCAATTTAAAAACAAATTCTCTGAAATCATTAAAGTTTTAGAGTTTCTGGTTGTATATAATTCATAGATTTGAAATGATCTGTAAAATATAAAAGGATGTTCTTTATCCTTAATTGCATTTTTGGTGGAAATGTTGAAAATTTTCTTATGACTTGTTGTTTGTGGATGGTATTTATGATTATCAGCAGATTTTAATGTGACTTTTTGTTCTTTACAGTCTCTCCAGTTTTTGTTAGATACATGTAAAGTGCTAGTCATTGGAGCTGGCGGCTTAGGATGTGAGCTCCTCAAAAATCTGGTAATACACATGTATATATAAAATGTCTCTCCCCTCCCCCTTTGTGATAAATAAAGCAGTTTGCTTTTTTTAAATACTAGGAAATATCTTTTTTTCTTTTTTAAAAAAAGCAATTTATTTCAGAATAGGTTTAAATTTATGACAGGAATTGTGAAGTGGTACAGAGTTCGCACATACTCTACACACCAGCTTCCTTTATTGTTAATATATTAGTATATTTGTCAGAATCTGTACACCATGCCCAGCTTCCCATTATTAATACCACATTTCAGTAAACTATATTTATTACAATCTATATCCAGCATCCCTTAATATCTAGCATTAGGAAATTTCTTTATTGTGTTTTCTTTTAAGATTTGTTTTATTTATTTGAGAGGCAGAGTTATAGACAGAGAGAGGTTTTCAATCCACTGGTTCACTCCCCCAGTGGCCGCAATGGCTGGAGCTGGGCCAACCCGAAGCCAAGAGCCGGGAGCTTCTTCAGGTCTCCCACATGGGTGCAGGTGCCCAAGGACTTGGGCCATCTTCTGCTGCCCTCCCAAGCACATTAGCGGGGAGCTGGATCAGAAGTAGAGCAGCCAGGACTCGAACAGGTACCCATATGGGATGCAGGCAGAGGCTTAACCTACTATGCCACAGCACTGGCCCCTATTGTGATTGTTAGCCTTTTCTTTCCTTTTTTTTTTTTTTTTTAATTTAAAGATTTACTTATTTCTTTGAAAGGCAGAGTTACAGAGGTGTAGAGGCAGAGAAAGAGAGATCTATCTGCTGGTTCACTCCCCAGATGGCTGCAATGGTTAGAGCTGAGCTGATCTGAAGCCAGGAGCCAGGAGCCAGGAGCCAGGAGTTTCTTTTGTGTCTCCCGTGTGGGTGCAGGGGCCAAGGACTTGGCCGTCCTCTGCTGCTTTCACAGGGCATAGCAGAGAGCTCTATTGGAAATGGAGCAGCCAGTGCCCATATGGGATGCTGGCACTGCAGGTGGCAGCTTCATCTGCTATGCCACAGTGCCAACCCTGATTGCTAACCTTTTTTTTGGAGCTTTTGTTAGATAAGTTTAACAGGTCAGATTCTATATGGTAATTTAAGTGATAATATGACTTTGAAACTTTGTAGACTCTAAAGTTCTCAGTTATATAAAGTCATTGATAAATTTATGTTCATTTACTTCTCTGCTCTTTATTGAGCAAATTTTGGTACTTTCTTGTGAAGTGCTCATTAATTTCAGTGAAATAAATAAGAAAACAGATAATTCAGATTTTATTGTGTGGTTTCAAATAATTTAGTATTTTTCTTCTCCAAATAACCCAGATAGGTGGGTAGGACGTTCATTGTCTTGTTTTACCTAGACATAGGTTATGTTGAGGTTAGAGATGTTAAATGACTTGTCTGAGCATTTTGGATTGTAGTTATGTGCCTGCAATCTAATCTGGGTCATCAGTCCTTAGTTAAGTGTTCTTTTTCACTAAGACATTAGCTCATTATTTGACTTAATGAGATGGTAACTTTTTTTTTTTTTTTTTTTGCCAGGCAGAGTTAGACAATGAGAGAGAGAACAGAGAGAGAGATATAGACAGTGAGAGAGATACAGAGAGAAAGGTCTTCCTTCCATTGGTTTACTCCCCTAATGGTTGCTATGGCCAGCGCTGCACCGATCCGAAGCCAGGAGCTGGGTACTTCCTCCTGGTCTCCCATGCGGGTACAGGGACCCAAGCACTTGGGCCATCCTCTGCTGCCCTCCCGGGCCACAGCAGAGAGCTGGACTGGAAGAGGAGCAACCGGGACAGAATCTGGCGACCCAACTGGGACTAGAACCCGTGGTGCTGGTGTGACAGGTGGAGGATTAGCCAAGTGAGCCACGGCACCGTCCCGAGATGGTAACTTTTGATGACCATATGGTGGTAGATACGTAAAACTTGGGAAAACTAAGATTTAAAAAAATTATTTATTGTTGATTTCTCTTGGAAAGGTAGAAAGAGAGATGTCTTCCACCTGCTGGTTAATTCCCACAGATGTCCACAACAACCAAGGCTGGGTCAGGCTAAGATCAGGAGCCAGAAACTCAGTCTCAGTCTCTGACGTGGGTGGCAGATATCCAAGTACTTGAGCCATTACCTGCTCCCTAACAGAGAGTATGTTAGCAGGAAGCTAGAATTGGAAGCGGAGCTGGAACCCAAATCCAGGCACTTCGATATCAGTTGCGAGTGTCCCAAGTAGTGTTTTAATTGCTGCACCAGATGCCTGGCTGGAAGGCTAAACTTGTGGTGAAGCTATTACTATATACTGTTTGGAAAACTGTAATTTTTAAATTTAATTAATTGATTGGATTGACTTCTGGCAATCATAAAGTACCTTCTTGTAAATTTTTTATCAGTTAACAAAAATGAGTGGGAGAATTTGTTTAGAGCTATTATATGCCTAGCTTCTCATTGCTTTGTAGAAAAGTAGAAATGTTGCAGTGGATTCCTTAGAAAATGAAGCAGTCAGATAGAAAATCTCGATAGCCAGCCAAAGGAGTTAAGTTTAAGTATAAACACAGCCACATTAATTTTGATAGGTGACACTAATGTTACACCTCTGGAGATGGAAAAGCTTAAATATACATCGCTGTACTTAGTGCTAGGCCGGGTTCTTTGGGGGTTGTGGATCATCAAAGTCTGTCCTTAGTGAAACTGAGGTTTCACTGGGGAGACAAGTTTCACATGAAATAAGTAGCAGTGTGTTTGTGGTTGATTGCCAAAATGACAGTACCTTATCATACCTAAGTACTCCAGCAGTGTGAGAACCAGAGACTTCTGGATGGGAAGGGTTTGTAGAGGATGCAGTGTGTTTTGTTGTTGTTGTTGTTAGGTGTTAGGTGTGTACAGGTCCAGTAAAGCTTAACTTTTTCTATTTTGAAGCCATTCTTTGCAAATGGGAAATGTACTAATTTTAAATATAAAGGAGTTGAAGATTAGATCTGAAGGTTAGTCATCAAGCAACTTTAAGGAGTGGCCGTGTTACTTATGTGCATTATAATAAACTTTAACATCAAAGAAGAAAAACTGAGAACTTTCAGCTTTACTAATTACATTGCTTATTTTAGATATAAACACCCAGGAGTTATACGTGAGTTTTTAAATTGATTGTAAGCCCTCCACAGGTTCATTCTAGAAGTTAACATTATCAATTGAACAGATACTTAGGGAACCTCCTTCCCCACATGCCAAGCACCATTTTAGGTGATGAAGATACAGTGTTAAACAACACAGATATTTGTGATTATGGGCCTCATATTTTAGTTGAACAAAAGACAAGTCAAATAAATAGTAAGTCACATGATGTGTGTACTATAAAAATGGGAAAGGTGGAAGATAGGAAAGAGTTTTTAAAAAGGTTCTCTTTGAGTAAAGAGGCAGGCAAATGAGCCATCCTTATATCTGGAGGAGATCATTCTGGTCAGAGGGAGCAGCAGGTGCAGTAGCTGTGAAGTAGAAGCATGTCTATTCAAGCTACAGCTAAAGCAGAAGTGCGTAAGGGGAAGCGGTTTTGAAGGGGATGTAAGAGAGGTAACTGGTGATGGAGAGGCTCAGAGCAATGTCAGAAAAGGCCTTGGAAACTGTCTCAAGAACTTTGAGTCAGGAAATCATTGGCAATGAATGACTTGACTCACTTTAAACTTGGAGCACTGCGGCAGATTCATTGCAAATAGGCTAAAAGAAGGGTCTGGGGCTAGGGGACAGTTGCAGCATTGTGCTGCAGCAGGTTAAGCCTCTGCTTGCCATGTGGGCATCTGAAGTCCAACTGCCAGTTGAATCCTGGAGGTTCTGATCCAGTTCCTTGAATTCATGTGTCTGGGCAGGCAGTAGAGGATGGCCCGAGTACTTGGACCCGTGCAACCCATGTAGGAGACTTGCATGGGGTGGGTAGAGTTCCTGGCTCCTGGCTTTGCCTGGCCCATCACTGGCTCTTGTGGCCATTTGGGAGATGAAAGATCTCTTTCTCTCTCTCTCTCCTTCCCCACCCCTCTCTTATTGCCTTTTTGTCACTCTGCCTCTCAAGTAAAGTAAATCGCAAAGAAAGAGCTGGGGAAGAAACAGTGGTAGTAGTTCAAAGACTGTTGTAGTTCTCTAGACAAGGGATGACAGTAACTTGGAGATTAGGGTCTAATATCGTTGGAGGTGAAGAGAGATGGTCAGGTTTATGGATATATTTTGAAGACTGAATCAACAGAATTTGCTAATGGGTTGGGTGTGTTATGTGATATGAAAGAGAAGTTAAGGTTGACACAATCAGATTTTTGCCTGAGAAACTGGAAGGCTGGAGCCACTGCTAAAATGAGGAACATGGAAAATAACAGGTTTGGTGAGTGGTGAGCAAAGGTGATCAAGTTTGGTTTTGGACATTTAAGTCTGAGATGTCTGTGAGATTGTCTATCTTTGTCTTATAAGATGATCTGAACCAAACTCTAAATTGTGGCTAGTAAAATAGAAGCAAAAATGAAGGAACTGGAAACCCATTTTTGAAAGTGTTCAAATACTCATGGGTGTAATGACCGAGTGAAGTATGTGTTTAAGGTGCCAAAAACCTTAGAAGGATAAAGATGAATAGTCTGAGAATTGGTGGTGATTGGAGTTAGCAGCTGGAGGGCTGGAATGATTACCTTGCCTCAAACTTTTTTTTTTTTTAAATATTTATTTATTTATTTATTTGAATTTGAAAGTCATAGTTACACAGAGAGAGGAGAGGTAGAGAGAGGTCTTCCATCTAATGGTTCACTCCCCAGATGGCCGCGATGGCCAGAGCTGTGCCGATCCAAACCCAGGAGCCAGGAGCTTCTTCTGGGTCCCCCACGTGGGTGCAAGAGCCCAAGGACTTGGGCCATCTTCTACTGCTTTCCTGGGCCATAGCAGAGAGCTGGACAGGAAGTGGAGCAGCTGGGTCTCGAACCCGCGCCCATATGGGATGCCGGCACTTCAGGCCAAGGCGTAACCCACTGCTCCACAGCGCCGGCCCCGCCTCAAACTTTTGAGATAGTCCTTTTATCTGTGCATTACATATATGTGTGTGTGCTAAAGACCCATGTCTTTCAATAGTTACCTTTTCTGAGTTGTGGCATGCTTATTGTTGAATGAATTAAAGCTTGTAGGAGTTGATTTTTAACAATATTCTGAAGAGAGGATAGCAAATATAGTTAACTAATAAGAGTGGTAAAATTGAACTATCAACAGCAGAAGAGTAACAAACTTTATGAATATATTTATGGAAAGTGTATGTATAAAATATTTTTAATCTATAGAAGTTCTGGATTTTCTCTTGGTTATAGATGGTTTGAAATTGGTTGCATATATTTGACTTTAATAATTTCTGTAAATTTCACATACCTCACAGAGTTCTTTAACCAGATACGGTGTTGCATAATTTATTACTGAGAATTTGTTGATTTAGGACTTAATTGAAAGCAAATATTAAATTTTCAAATGTGAAAAAGCTTCTCAATTGGATTATTTTTGTTCCCACAGGCATTGTCTGGTTTTAGACAGATTCATGTTATAGACATGGACACTATTGATGTTTCCAATCTAAATAGGCAGTTTTTATTTAGGTAAGTTTTAACATTTTAGATGTGTTTTTAACTCTCATTGTCATTTGAATTTGAGTATATTGAAGTTTAGTAAGTAGAAACTATGGTGGCAAAAATGTTCTACATGAAGGATCTCTGTGAGTGAGACCCTAGCAGAAAGAAGTGGCCATCAAAGAAGGATGTACTTTTCTCTAAAAGGAGGAGACAACTTCCACTTTGCTTATGGCCTTGTCTAAATACTGACAGAGTTTGTGGACTCAAAAGGCTTCCATAGCCTAGGCAGATCATGTCAAGAGCCTCAGGCAGTCACTGACGTCATACTTAAGAGTGTTAATTGTTAAATTAACAACAGGAGTCGCTGTGCACTAACTCCCCAAGCAGGACCTCTGACCTCAATGAGCTATATTATGAGAGTTAACTGTAAAACTAGTTTTCAGTTTGTGTGTGTGTGTGTGCACGTGCGCACGCATGCAAACTGTTGAAATCCTTACTTAGTATATACTGAGTTGGTCTTCTGTGTTAAGTTAATTGAAAATCTTAATGGAGAATGGGACTGGCCAGGGGAGAGGAAGGAGGAGGAGAGCTGGGAATGTGAGTAGGAGGACAGGTATGGTGGGAAGAATAACTATATTCCTAAAGTTGTACTTAATGAAATTGTATTCCTTAAAAAATAAATTAGAGAAAAAAACTATGGCGAGGATAATACCAATTTTATTTGAAAATTAAGACTACCACTTTCATTTAAATAAAATTTTGGATGTTCTGGCAAAGTAGTAAGCAGGTTTTTTTTTGTTTTTTTGTTTTTTTTTAAAGAAGTCTCCTTCCAAAGGTATGTATTATTTTTTGTACTCTCAGGGTGATCATGCCTGAATACATGGAGTACATCTCTTTTTCTCCTGTTGATTTCACAAGAGAATAGTAGCTGGACTATAGACCCTTGTGAGTTATTCAAGGGAACTTCAAAATGTTTGTGGAAAAATGGAATTATAAAGGATGAGTTTATTATAGGGTGGGCTTTTAACCTAGTGTTTAAGATGCCCCCATCCCGTATTGAAGTGTCTGGGTTCAATGACCAACTCTAGCTCCTGGTTCCAACTTCCTGCTAATGTGGCCTCAGGAGGCAGCAGGTGATGGCTCAAGTGGTTGGGTCCATATCACCCACATGGGAGACCCTGCTTGAATTCTCAGCTCCTAGCTTTAGTTCGGCCCAGCCGTGGCTGCTGTGACCTTTGGGAACAGGCGGGAGCGTGCTGTGTTCTCTCTGTCTCTGTCTCTAATTAAAACCAAAAAATAATAAGTTATTTTGATGCCCCAAATGTTGAAATTCATGCATATTTTTAATAACATTTTCCAAGAACTGTTTGAAGATTTGAAGACTTATTGTATGTATGTGCCAAAATAAACTAGCCTTTCAGCTCCATTTTCAGCAAGCTTTTTGAAGTACCCTTGTATTAAGGAGTTGTGAGCCAAAATTTGAATGATGACTCTGGAGCAAAGAAATTGTGAGAAGATTAGAGTTTTAAACAAGGGAAAAGAAAGTGGAGCATTAAGGAGAGAAAACCTAGGACCAATAGAAATGAAAACAGAAGAGGAATACTAACCTTACATATACATGAAATAACAGAAAATATCAAGGAATGCTTTGTTAAAAATGACTTTAAAAACTGGAAGTAGATCATAAGTGCAGGCCTTAGGAAAGTATCGTGCATGAATTTTAGTATGTAATCAGGGGTTTTTGTAGCTTAAATGAAAATGTATTTGTTAGGCAAAGAATGTAGATGTGAATAATTTTTTTCTCTCTAATTATTAGGGTACTAACAGAAAGATCTGATAGTCCTGAGTAAGCAGGATAAGGTTGAGATAGCAGAAAAAGAACATTCAATTTGAATAAGCATAAAAACTCTATTTTATCTTGTGGAACATCTGCAAGAGACTGAAGGATGGATTAAACTAAGTCGAGTTAAACTCTAGAAATTTTCTTTAGAGCCGGCGCCGTGGCTCAATAGGCTAATCCTCCACCTTGCGGCGCCGGCACACCGGGTTCTAGTCCCGGTTGGGGCACCGGATTCTGTCCCGGTTGCCCCTCTTCCAGGCCAGCTCTCTGCTATGGCCAGGGAGTGCAGTGGAGGATGGCCCAGGTGCTTGGGCCCTGCACCCCATGGGAGACCAGGAAAAGCACCTGGCTCCTGGCTCCTGCCAGGATCAGCGCGGTGCGCCGGCTGCAGCGGCGGCCATTGGAGGGTGAACCAGCGGCAAAGGAAGACCTTTCTCTCTCTCTGTCTCTCTCTCTCACTGTCCACTCTGCCTGTCAAAAAAACAACCCTAAAGAAAAAAAAAAAGAAATTTTCTTTGTCTATTGAAAAGTTTGTGGGCCCTTTCTAGTCTGACAAATTTTTAGTGTATGAATACTATTATAAAAAGACACTGTTGAATTGATTGCTTCTAGCTTTAATTTATGGCTAAAACTGGTAGAATCTATTGTTGATAGTTAAAATTTATTGAGTATATCTGAGGTATTAAACACTTTTGCATCTCTTTGTATTACCTCATTTAATGTAAGAGTAACTCCCAAGGGAGATATTTGCTTTCACAGTTAAAGTAATATAGGCACGGTGTCCTGCAAGGGTGATGTGTGTGAAAGGCCATTTTATTCAAGATACTTTAGGCTGAGCATTCTGATTGTCCTAGTATGGTAATGGTAATCTAGCAGTTTCCACAGAAATCATGTAGGAATTCTGTTTAAAATACATAACAAAATGGGTCTTGGAAATCTGTTTTATCCCCTTTATAGACCTTAAGAGATTTCTGTGCAGAATAGTTAAAGTATTACTGAAATCAGGTTCTCTCATTTGTAGCAGGGTCTTTTAAATGAAAGTTAAGACAAAGTGAGCATAAAGTTCTTAGCAGATTTGAATAAAAAATAATAGTTTTATATTGGAAGAAAGAAAAACTGACTTCTTGGAGTGTTTTTCTTTGAAAGTCCAGTTTTAAATGAAATATCTCTAATGAGCACATTTGGTTTTTTATTTTCATTTAGTTTTAAGCTTTTTACTCTGTGCTATTGATGAAGGAATACAGAGTAAGAAATTGTATAATCATTTTGTTTCACCTGCTAATGGTCTAGTAGGTATGATAAGCATGTATATACTAAGACTTGTGTTATAAAAACGAGTAATAATGAAGCACTAACTGTGTATCCATGAAGGAGTGACTTATTCCCATCAGGAAAGAAAATATCATATATACAAAGTTTGGAAGGTGGATCTATTTCCATTCCTATCTATGGTTGTTGTCTAGGAGTGATCTTTTGAGGCTTTATATTTCTAGTTATTTAAAAATGTGGCTAACATTCACAATTTTAGGTAATTTCTTTGAAATTATTCCCTGTTTAAATATGTAGTTGCAACTTCACCTTTTTCTAAATGATCAGCACACACAGGAAGAAGATAAATAAAACTTCCTTCTCCCTAAAATGAATTTTGCTGTGTATGTGTCAGCAAAGACCCACATAGTGACTAATACTCTGAGGTTCTGGAGTTCAGAGGAAGTAGATACCTAAAAGGCTCTAAGTTTGGGATAATTTTTTGCACTGGGAAATATCACAGTAGAAAGTGGCTAGGAAACTTGCCATTATTATGCTTTAATTGGGAGGGGAAAAGTACTGTTCATGTTTTTACCTAAGAAATAGTCAATTAAATTTGTTGTGATAGTTTGGGTCGTCATCAGCTTTTGACTGATAGGGTAAAATAATTATTCATCAAAAGTTATTACTGATATACAGAGTACTTAGATAAAGATAGTACTTCTAAATATTCTATAAATTCACTATGGATTTATGTTTGTGTTGAAAAGAGGCTACACTTTAAGATACTTAGCCAAGAGCTGCATTTGAGTTTGATGCTGTTTGCACCAAGTTCTCAGTGCAGTTTACTTGTAAAGCCTGGTCTTCTCAGGCTTCTGAAGCTCCTAGTTCAGGTCACACTGGCAATCATGAATATCTTTCCAATAATTCAAGGATTTCTAAAGGTCTTTCCATACTCAGGGGAAAAAAACCTCATCAGAATCAGTGGTTAACCAGGAGGAACAAAACCAAAAAGCACAGTGAACACAAGTCTTCATGTTAGTTTCGGCATACGTTTATAACCAGAAGGATCCAGGGGATAGCTTTGGCTTGCCTACCTAACTTTCTGATCATTTATTTCAATGATGGGGAATAGTAGGTCAGAATATCTTTTCAGGTTCTAGTGTATGTGTGTTTGCCATGAGAGAAATCTTAAAAAGTGTACAGCAGAATATGTTGGGGGTGGGGCTGGGACATGGGGAGTGGTATTTCTAGGATTAATATATTGAACACTGATTTCAGCCTCTCATTGAATACTGAGTGATTTTCAAGGGCATGGTTAGTCAAATTCAAGATTTTTAACTTGGAAGCTTTCCAGATAAGTTGGAGCATTTTATTACATATTTTGTTGTTTAATGTCTTAACCTGAGCCTTTTAATTTGTGAACACCTATGGAAATGATTGGGTCTCTGGAAAAATTTTGCCTATTTATGTTAAGTTTTAAAAGACAGTCCACTTTTTAGCATTGTTTTGTGTGGTTGTCTTAACTAATAAATGTGTTTTTTTTCCTCCCTCCCCACCAAAAAAGAAAAGAAACTATATAGTTACCCAGATTTATATGATGAAATAACTTAAATATTTTTCTTGTAGGCCTAAAGATGTTGGAAGACCTAAGGCTGAAGTTGCTGCAGAATTTCTAAATGACAGAGTTCCTAATTGCAATGTAGTTCCGTATCCTTTTGGAAAAAAAAAAATACTTAGTATTTTAAAGCTTTCTTTTTTTAAGATCCTTCATTCTTTCAGTGTTACTTTATTTTCATTTACCTGAAAGACAGAGTGACAGAGAGAGAGAGAGAGAGAGAGAGAGAGAGAGAGAGAGAGAGAGAAAGACTGATTTTCCATCTGCTAGTTGACTCTTCAAATGCTCTTAAGAATCAGGACTGGACCAGACTAAAACTGGAAGCTTATAACTCCATCTGGGTCTCTCATCTGGATGACAGGGACCCAAGCACTTGAGCCATCATCTGCTGCCTCCCAGGATGTATTAGCTGGAAGCTCTTCCTGAAATGGAGGAACCAAGACTCAAATCAGCACTCCAATATGGGATTTCTTTTTCTTTTCTTTTTTTTTTTTTCTAGTTTATTTATCTGAAAGGAGAAGTTACAGAGTGGAAGAGGCAGAGAGAGACAGAGAAGTCTTCCATCTGATGGTTCACTCCCCAAATGGCCGCAACCACTGGAGTTGAGCCGATATGAAGCCAGGAGCCAGGAATGTATTCCAGGTCTCCCACGTGGGTGCAGGAGACGAAGGACTTGGGCCTTCTACTACTTTCCCAGGCCACAGCAGAGAGCTGGATTGGAAGTGGAGCAGCCAGGACTCAAACTGGCACCCATATGGGATACTGGCACAGCAGGCAGCAGCTTCACTCACTCTGCCACAGTGCCGGCCCGCAATATGAGATTTAATTGTCTTAAGTGGTGGCTTAGCCCACTGCATCAAAACACCTGCCCTAACTTTTTTTATTTACTATAAAAGAGATATGTGACAGAGAATACAGAAAGAAGAAAAATCCAACAGGAACCTTATTTCTAAAATAACTACTGGTAACATTTTGTTTAATATCCTTTTAATCTTTTTATACTTACATAATTTTTTGCTCTGATTTTTGTTTTTTATATTTTTATTTTTTTTAAGTTTTTAAATTTACTTTGAAAATCAGAGTTACAGAAAGGGAGAGATAGAGAGCGGTGGAGACATCTTCCATCTGCTGATTTTACTCTGCAGATGGCTGCAATGGCCAGTTCTGGGCCAGGCCAAAACCAGGAGCCAGGAGCTTCATCCAAGGCTTCCTCATCTGTGGCAGGGGCCCAAACACTTGGGCCATCTTCTGCTGTTTTTCCTAGGCCATTAGCAGGGATCTGGATCAGAAGTGGAACTGCTGGGACACGAACCAGTGCCCATATGGGATGCGGGCGTTGCAGATGGTGGCTTTACCTGCTGTGCCACAACACTAGCCCCTGCTGTGATTTTTTTAAATTAAACTTATATAGCCTTTGTCATAACTACATTTATTTTGCATTGTGCTTAATTTTTGTGTCAAATTACATATTTCTTATACTAGACTATAAGTTTCTGAGGCTGAATTCAGTTAGTATTTGAGTCTCTCATAGTAGCACACAGAGTAGACAGTCAGTTGTTTTTAGTCAAATGTAGGGCATGTTAAAAATTTTATTTTTCAAGAAATATGTTTTTAAATAATTTTTTGGGCCGGCGCTGTGGCATAGCGGGTAAAGCCGCCGCCTGCAGTGCCGGCATCCCATATGGACTCTGATTCAAGTCCCAACTGCTCCATGTCTGATCCATCTTCCTGCTGATGTGCCTGGGAAAGCAGTGGATGATGGCCCAAGTGTTTGGGCCCCTGTACCCATGTCGGGGACCTGGAGGAAGCTCCTGGTTCCTGACTTCAGATCTGCCCAGCTCCGGCCATTGTGGCCATTTGGTGAGTGAACCAGTGGATGGAAGATCTCTCTCTCTCTCTCTCTTTCTCTCTCTCTGCCCTTCATGTAAATAAATAAAATCTTTAAAAAATAATAATAATAATTTTGTTAATTTGAAAGGCAAAGAGAAAAAGACAGAGATACATCTTCTATCCACTGTTTGACTTCCCAAATGCTTGTAGTAGCCAGGACTGGGCTAGGTCAAAGTCGGGAGCCTTGAATCTGTTGAGGTCTCTGACGTGGTGGCAGGGACCCAAGTACTTGAGCCGTCTTTCATGTCATGTACTGCTTCCCAGAGTGTACATTAGCAGGAAGCATGAATCACAAGTGGAGCTGAGACTTAAACCCAGCACTCTTTTGGGATGCTTTTTTTTTTTTTGAGATTACTTATTTATTTGAAAGAGTTACAGGGAGGCAGAAAGAGAGATCTTCCATCCACTGGTTCATTATGCAAGCGGCCGCAACAGCCAGAGCTGAGCTGATATGACCCGAAGCCAGGAGCCAGGAACGTCTTCCGGGTCTCCCACACAGGTTCAGAGGTCCAAGGACTTGTGCCATCTTTCACTGCTTTCCCAGGCCATAGCAGAGAGCTGGATTGGAAGTGGAGTGGCTGGGCCTTGAACCTGCACGCATATGGGATGCCATCACTGTAGGTGGCAGCTTCACCCACTGTGCCACAGCATTGGCCCCCAAATGGTGTCTTAATCACTGCTCCACACCATCTGTCCCAATAATTTTTAAAATAGTCACAGTCAAGTAATATTTTTTTTTTTTTTTGACAGGCAGAGTGGACAGTGAGAGAGAGAGACAGACAGAAAGGTCTTCCTTTGCCCATTGGTTCACCCTCCAATGGCCGCCGCGGCCGGCGCGCTGCGGCCGGCGCACCGCGCTGATCCGATGGCAGGAGCCAGGAGCCAGGTGCTTTTTCCTGGTCTCCCATGGGGTGCAGGGCCCAAGCACCTGGGCCATCCTCCACTGTACTCCCGGGCCACAGCAGAGGGCTGGCCTGGAAGAGGGGCAACCGGGACAGAATCCGGCGCCCCGACCGGGACTAGAACCCGGTGTGCCGGCGCCGCTAGGCGGAGGATTAGCCTAGTGAGCCGCGGCGCCGGCCCCAAGTAATATTATTATAGCTGAAATAGTTAAAAATAAGTGCAAATTGTTATTATTGCTGTTGATGTTACTGTTCCTACAGTAGTAAATCTGGATCACACTTGATTGCTATAGAAGAAAAAAAAAGCAAGACAAGAATCATCAAATTTCTCCTCTCCTTTTTAAAAATAAACTTTTTTTAAAAAATTCATCCTTTGAATGACAGAGAAGAGGGAAAAGGGAGATCTTCCATGTGCTAGTTCATTCCCAAAGGAACACAACAGCTAAGATAGGCCAGGCTGAAGCTTATAGCCAGGAACTCTATTTGGGTCTTGCACGTGGGTGGCAGCAGGTACCTAAGCACTTGAGCTATCTGCTGCCTCCCAAGATGTGTTGACAAGGACCTGGGTCTGAAGCTGGGACTTGAACCAACATATTAATTTGGATGTGTGCATCTAGTCGGTGGCTTGACCTGCTGTACCACACACACAATGCCTGTCTCCCAAACTGGTCCTTTTTGGCTGCTTAGAATGGAATGTTCACAGCCGGCGCCGCGGCTCAATAGGCTAATCCTCCGCCTGCGGCGCCGGCACACTGGGTTCTAGCCCCGGTTGGGGTGCCGGATTCTGTCCCGGTTGCCCCTCTTCCAGTCCAGCTCTCTGCTGTGGCCAGGGAGTGCAGTGGAGGATGGCCCAAGTGCTTGGGCCCTGCACCCGCATGGGAGACGAGGAGGAAGTAGCTGGCTCCTGGCTTCGGATCAGCACGGTGTGGCGGCTGCAGTGGCCATTGGAGGGTGAACCAATGGTAAAGGAGGACTTTTCTCTCTGTCTCTCACTGTCCACTCTGCCTGTTAAAAAAAAAAAGAATGGAATGTTCACAAGGTCAGTGACTCAAGCTAAATTTTTTTATGTCCTGTCTCGGGGACAGGAGAAATTTCAAATAGGGTTTGTTTTTTTTTTTTTTAATTTTAAAAATTTATTTGAAAGGGTTACAGAGATGGGGGAGAGACAGAGGTTGATCTTCCATCTGCTGGTTCATTCCCCAGATGGCCACACAATAGGGGTTTCGTGAAGCCAAAGTCAGGAGCCTGAAACTCCATTCAGGTCTCCCACATGGGTGTCAGGGGCCCAGGTACTTGAGCTGTTTTCTTTTGCTTTCCCAGGCACATTAGCAGGGAGCAGGATCAGAGGTGGGGCAGCTGGAATGTGAGCTGTCACTCATATGGAGTGCCGGCATTACAGCAGATAGCAGCTAAACCTCCTGTGCTACAATATTATTTTCATAAATATGTTTAAGCTGGCCAGGCTTTGATTCTTGTTTTTTAGTGTGCATCTTTCTAAGGGTATATGTTCCCAGAAAAGAGGAGTACCAAGTGCTTCATCCAGATCCCTGGTGAAAGAGCAGACCCATCAGAGCCAGGCATATCCTTGGATGCAGATCTGGACTAAGAGATCCATGATCTCTCATTACTCTCACCATGTCCCAGACCCAAGAGGGGCCAATGAAAGTCACTGGTCAAGGCCTTCCAATGGAGGCATGAGGAGTTCCCTGTCACAGAAGCAAGAAATAAGGCAAAATGGTCCTTAATCTGTGGGCATTTCTTATTCCCTTAGCTGGCATTTCTCATTCATCATGGCCTTGGCTATTGGGTTAACCTTGGATTGTTGATGCTAATGATTAGTTTGGAATCTCATAGTTTAGAATCAGGTGACCCCATTAGTCTCATCTGATGGAGGTTGGCCATGGTGGAGCAGGTATGGAGGAACAGTCACATGTTGAACCAGGAAGCAGAGGAGAAATAATACTTATTTATTTGAAAAGCAGAGTTACAGAGAGAAAGGGAGAGACACAGATTTTCCATCTGCTGTTTCAGCCCCCAGGTGGCTGCAATGGCCGGAGCTAGGCCAGGCCAAAGGCTGGAGCCAGGAGCTTCTTCCAGGTCTCCCATGTAGGTGCTGGGGCCCAAGTACTTGAACCATCTTCCACTGTTTTCTCTGGCCGTTACCAAGGAGCTGGATCAGAAGTGGAGCATACAGGCTCCATATGGGCTACTGTTGTTGCAAGCATGGCTTTACCTGCTACACCACAGTGCTGGTCCTGTGAAATAATATTTTTAAAGTATTCATGCTCTATTATGTGAAT